GCTGACGCCATTTTTTCCAACTTTCGAAAAATTGACAGCGATAAAAACAAACAATACACTTTAAAATACTTCTACCAAAATTTTCAAGAGAAAATACCACATGGGTAACTTTCTACAGCGTTTTTTTATTCGTGATATGTGTCTAGATCCAGCCTTAAAAAAATAGGAATGTTGTGTGATTTGAGAAATGAAAGCAGCCGTTTTTCAGGTTGTAGACTTGGTTGTAGTTGTTACGAAAGGCTTGCTCCGTTTTCCACACGAACAAATCCCCTGCCAAATCATGAATTTCTTGGGGAACTTCGACACTTGCTGTTTCCTAGGGAACTCTGAAACATCGAACTTGTTTTTCGCATTTCCGGAATTTATTTGAAGTCCGCTTTTACGTATATGTTTCATCGTCCACGATACAGCAGTGTGCGCACTAAGATTATTTTATCGAAATTTGTGGATTTTTCACAGATTTCCAGTAATTTTTCAACGAACATCTGTGAAAAATCACAGAAAATCTGTGAAAAATCACCGAACTGTTTACCGAACGTTCAGCTGTTGAGATTTCGGTAAAATTTCACAGATTTCGGTAAAATAATCATAGTGTGTAGGTTTGTCAACATGTGTGTACAGCTTACGTGCCCGCGTTCTAGATGTCCTATTATGTCGTTTATTGCGGTTTGGTGCTTTCTGAACTAAGAAAGTTCTGTCGTTTCTTGGCTTTCTGCACGAAACTTTTTGCGACATCCCGAACGGAATAGTTGGGTTTGCCTTTGAAGGTAGCAATCACTAGCTTGTGATCTTCAACGCAGTACGAAACACTTTTCTTGCACTCACTTGCTTTCGATTGACAGTTAAACGTTCTCCGAAACGATTCATGATACGAGAAACAGTAGATTGTTGAATTACCAACATCTTTCCGATGGCTCGGTGCAAAAGATGTGGGTTCCCCATAAAACATTTGACAGCTAGGAAATTTTACGGTAGACCGACGAAATCGGGTGCCGACAAAATCAACCGATTAATATACCGACGAAACCCGACTTTATCGGGAGCAGACGAAAACAGTCAATTAATGTACCAACTAAATCGGGTGCCGTTTGAATCGTACGTTGTCTGATTTAATCGACTGTCATTAGTCGATGATTTCTTCAATGATTTCTGTCGGTACATCAGTCTATCAGCTAAGTCGGTTTTCGTCGGGAGTCGATTATGTCGGATTAAAATTGGTATATTTAATCAGCTCGAACCATTGTGTTGATAATGGAAGTTTACTAGTCGCGGTTAGAGTCGGTGTATAATGAGTCACGCCAAGAGTGAAGCCAAGTCTACGTATTGAATTGTCAAACCGACTACCTATCGTGCAAAGTAAACAAGCATTACGATGCTGTGAAAGGTCCACGAAAGGTATTGCAATTAAATATTAAATATAACCGAAGAAATGATCATATACACGCAGTGAGCATTACATTTGTCATGCGATACGTTTTGTAATGATCAGTAATGACAATTTCTACTATTTTTCCTTAAGATAATTCCACAAAATCACTGATATAATGATATACTACAGTTGTTATTTTTTTCCTTGCTAGAAGTCATTTGAAGTTGATGCAGAAGTCCTCTGTTGCCAAGTTAAAAGAAAGGGAATCTTTCGAAAACCGTGATGCGAGTTCAACTGTTTTTCTCTTGGCGTGACTCATTATACACCGACTCTAGTCACGGTCAGTTTGTTTATTTACAAAGTGTTTAGAGTTTTCTCGCTAAAAGAACGTGTTTTTGTGTTGATTTTTACCGTGAGTAGTGAAACTGTAGTAATTTCACGATGGCTAGTAGATGGAGTATTTGGAGAACAAAGCGGAAAACCGCAAAATATAAGGAATATGATGAAATTTACCGACGACATTTGATGGACAGTGAAGGGGAAAATGCAAATGAAGCTGCTGATCATGCTGCAGACGACGCGGATGATGTCCACCTGGAAAACCATTTCACCTCAGACGAAGAAGGCGAAATAAGGAACCTGAACTTTATTCGGCATATAATCATTAAGTATAAATATCCAAGGTAACGAACATTACACTAAAAATTATATTGTTTTCTAGATAATATCACCCTAACACCTGAGAAAGTTTTCACGGGATTGGTGGCAGCTGCAAAAGGAAGGATTTATGCGAAACAGCGTAGGGACGCTAAGAAGCGACCTCATTCCGAGGGCTCGAAAGAAAACACGAAGCCATCCGACCAGCAGCCGGGATGTCGTCAGACGAAGACTAAGAAGCGATCTCCTCTTTCCGAGGGCTCAGAAGAAAACAAGATGAAGTCATCCCAGCAACCGGGATGCAGCCAGTCACAGGCAAAAAAGCAAGCTTCACACTTCGCGGGTTCGAAGAAGAACTCGGTGATGACATCTGATCAGCCCAATCAACAGCCTGGAGGCAGTCCGAAGAAATCCAAACCGCAAGAAACATCCTTTGAATCCCGTACATCATTGACTCCTGAGAACAGTAGTCGCAGGAGTTCTGATGATTGTTCTCAATCTGATATTGAGTCGCCAGAGTTTTCCCCGATCAGATCTCAGTAGCTATCGACTACCGCAAGGAACAGCAGGAGCATGTTTCGTCCGAGATTTCGTCTTTATTCCGTGTTTACATTATTTTCAAGAATTAAGATTAAGAATTAAGGTATTAATAATATACTGTAAGTATAAACTGCGATTATACTATCTGTAAGGAAAATACAAACAAACCTATTTAATAGCTCTTGATCAACTGATTTCGTTGGATTCCATAGGTATTTTGATTTCTTTCTATACTGATTAATCGATAGATTTAGTGGTTTAAAATCAACCGATTTAGTCGACTTTCATTCGTTGTTCGTTTTTGTATGTCGATTAATAAAGCTATTTAATAGCTCTGCGTCGGACGATTTCTTTGAGATTTACTTATTCTCTGATTCTTTATGTCTACCAATCAGATTATTTAGTAACAACAAATCAGCCGATGTTGTCTGTTTCAGTTTCAGTCGATTTAGTAGTCCTTTATCATCCGATTTGATAGGTTTTTGTCGATTTTTACCATAAATTTTATCCATCGATTATTCACCCTACCAAATCGCTTTCAATCTATCGACTTGGTGAGCCAATTTAGTATACTGTAAAATCAGTCAACCCCTGTGTTAAGCTCCCATAAGCGTCGGTGCAACAATCGACCGATTCGTTGGAAATAAAATCGGTCGATCATGCCGACGAAACCCGACGAAGTTGAGGGAAAAATTGGTGGGATGTTTTATCGGGTTGTTGAGGTGAAATTTTCTCGAGCACGCGCTGTTCCTTACATCGGTCTCTGTTCCGCAATCTACACGCTAAGATGCATATACCTTAAAGTCGGTAAATATTACCTAGATATCGGTAAAAATTACTGATAATCGAAGAAAGTGCACATACCTAAATTATCGGTAATCATGGATTACCAATAATTATCGTTAAAAATTACCTAAATTATAGTAAAAAATAGCCAATTTAAAGTAAAAAGTAACGATTTTTATCGGTAAGACATACTGATAATTTTTTACCGATAATTTTAGGTAATCGTAGCTAAGAGTGTAGTGCCAATCACCGACGGACATCCATTGACGGCAATCGAATGTACCGGAAGGCAGCTTCCACACCTGCACAGCATTTTGCACCCATTCAACACTCATGGGGCGGGACCAACGGTTATACTTCCCTTCCGATAGAAGACGTGACCAGAGATTCCTCAGAAAAATCCCACCTACCTGAACCCAGACCCATTGGGATGAGAAAGCAGTCACGCTTGCCAATACAGCACCGGCGCCGGAAGACTCCATTTTCAAAACTACTGGAAGTTTTACAATGAAATTCACGCAGTGTAAACAATACACACTGAGGCCATCTCACCCAAAATTTCATTAAAATTAACTCAAAGGGCAAAATGTTACAGCTTTTAAAAGTGATGCAATTTAACTGTGGCCACCCTTTATTCGAGAACTTTTTCCTGGAAAATCTCGGAAAATTCAACTCACTTTTGAGCATATACACATTTGGCTACATTTCGTCGAATTCAACTCTCTTCTGAGGCAGGTATGAAGAAGAATACAATCAGAAAGCGCTGAAGTCTAGATGTACCAGTTATGGCTATACGTTCCTATTATGATGTGTTCCAATTATGGCCTATGGGAATTCAATAGGAAATAATTGGAACACATCATATTAGTAACGTATAGCCATAACTGCTACACAAAATCTATATTAATTTCTTCAAAGTTCACAATTCTCCCGGTAATTCGACCAATACACGATTTTCATATGTGTCATGCATTTTAATTTGCGAAATCATTTCCCCACTGACAACTCACGTAGGTTATCCGTGAAGGGAATTCCCAATGAACAACAACAGCATGCAAATGGAAATCTGAATCGAAACTCTCGGTTGTGGCGGATAATTAATTAAAGTTAAATCGAATATTTACCAAACCAGCCGGCCTATGATGTCCACGTACATTGCATTTCATTACTGGTCCAATCGATTCTCGTATTATCTCGCTTGTGTTTTAATCAGTTTCACTGCCCTTGGGCTATCCGAATGGTTACTGTTACATGTGTGTATATAAAGTGACTCGAGAGACTGATCACCTGGGATGTTATTATCTGTTAATGTCACACGATAGGCACATACGTGTTTACGCTGTTGTAAAACGGTTCCAGCATAGTCGTAAAGGAATTAGTGTATGGATAATTGATTTGACGGTCGTGTTTGGGCTTAGCAAATATCATACCATAATTTTTAAATCAATAGAGAACTATTTACTCGTTACATATCTTAATCACCATCAAAATTCTATGTTCAATTCACATAGTGAATTGAAACGCATTTAAAATTGAGTTTAGTCTACATTCTCTATCCAGCCAGCCTTTTCCGTTTACGATGTGACACTCTCCCGCTATAATCACTGCACAAAAAAACGTGACTTCATCAAACCGAAACTATTTCCAGTGACTAAAAAAAAACATATCATCATCATCACCATCCTACACAGAGGAGTTGCGAATACGCTCAACTCACATATCATAATCGGTGCATCCTAGCGAGCTAAATCTGTGACGAGTAAGGAAAGCAACGCAAAACCCAAGCAAAAAGAAAAAGTTGCTCGAAGTTATGTGCTCCGTGTGCTTGGCGAAATTGAATTATAACTTGAAATAGTATTAATTGTGTCAAACAAAGAACCAAGTACAAGCGGAGAACAGAGAAACAAAAAGTGAATCAGTGAACACAAGTGCAAGAGCTTCAAAAGTTGCTGGAGGACAGAAAGAAAAAGCTGCAGTAAGGCGCACCAGGCAAAAGTGGCATAAAGTTCGTGAATATTTCATCGCCCATCCCACGGTCCAACTCCGGCAGTTGCAAAATTCAACACTCACACACATATCTACTCACTTTGCTGGTCCCCCGGAGGAAAAGTGGAAAATTTTAAATGTTTGTTAAAAATTCATTGCTACAGATCATAGCTACACTACTTGTGGTGAGTATACCCATCATCCCTTTTTGCTTTCAATTTCGGACTTTGAACAACCAACCAACGACCGGTAGCCGCAAAGGTATCTACCCCCACCCTGCGCCCTCTGCTGTGTGGTTAAAAAATGTTTCCAGAGCGGTTCCAAAGTTGTTGAAGGAGTAATTTGAATAATATAATTGAGCGATAATGGCTTTATGAATGCTGCTCCATTCCAGACCCTGTCTGGCTCGCTGAATGTTGTGCATAATCAGGATAATAGCGTGATAGCCGTGTGCCTTACGATAAGCTGATTACCAACGACAGGTTAGATGTAAACTTTTACGACAGGGTCAACGATGTCATTATCAAAAGCTTGACATCACTTCTAATAGACAAAGACACTATAATGTCATGCTGCATTACAAAGTGAAGACATTTGTTCAGTATACTATAAGCACCTGTACTGCCGCTCATCGCAAGTCGGTCCCATTTGCGATTTTGTCAAAACTTTTTGTTATTCAATTGAGATGGTAGATATTCGCCTATATTTTCGTAATCGTGGATGAACTCAACACCTTTGTTCTGGAAAACTTTGGAAAAACATAAAACGGGTTGTCCCATTTCATAAGATGCAATGGTGCGAAGCATACTTAAAACTCGTTTTTCTCGGCATGCTCATTTGTGCTATGGGACCTACTTGCCATGAGTGGCAGTGTATACTTTCTATCAAAACCTTTAGCAGCAATTGTCAGGTGCATCGTTCAAGTTAAAGCACCAAGAAAATGCTTCTTACGCTTTGAAAACACTCACTGAGAGACTTATCAGATATTCATTAAAAATAAACAATCTTCAAGGAGGTAACCTCCTTGAAAGTTATTCTAATGGCACCATTCCCCTTCAGGTACAGATTTTACACGGTATAAGTTGGTCGTAAGGAATGAAGTCTAACAAACTAGGAAATGTACTTCGTGTGGGTTAACCGGACAATATGGATACATATTTTCGGAACGGGAACGACGTGTAGAGGCTGGAAATCGATGATTCATGCCATTTTAGAATCCAAGATGGCAACTTCCGGGTTGTGAAAAGCTGTTGAATATTCTACAATATGGGTATTTTCGAAACGGGGATAACGTGTAGAAACCCGAAATCTATTTATGACACCATTTTGGAATCAAGATGGTCACTTTTGGTTTGTGAAAAAGTATTCAATTGCATACAATATTGGTTTTTTTCTGAACGGGAACGACTTGTAGGGACAGGAAATCAATGGATGACGCCTTTTTGGAATACAATATGGTGACTTCCGGTTCGTTAAGAAATTTGGAGTACCCTACAGGATGGGTATTATCAGAACGGGGACTGCCGTTTTATGAAAGTGCCAAATAAATTTTATGCAACATGTTTTTAAATAATGTTTATTTCTGATAATCTGTAATTATTCTTATTACATGTACAGTAATTGTAAACATTGAATTTTGAACAACATGTGACCAGCAATGGGTTGTGGAATGTAGCTCTAGAGGTTTCCTAACAAGTGTTAATGGCCTCAATAGTACCTAAAATAACTGAAACTGGAACACAACTGGACCAGTTTGGCTAGTGAAACAGCGGAATTTAATTTGAAGTTTCATTTAAAGGATCTACTTCAGAACATACCGCGAACTGGAAGTTACTGTTGAAGAGTTTATAACTTAACGTACACGGTATCCAATTGGCTAAAAACAGATTTCAGGAACAAGGTTTCCTCATTCACTGGGTTTCATTACCCGAGACTATTTGGCCAGCAGCAATTCTAATTCCAGTTCCAGTTATGTTAGGTAACATTGAAGCCATTACCATTTGTTGAAAAACCTCGGCAAACATACTTTTGAATATAAAAATCAAAAAATGATCCATAAAATATTGGAAAACGTTCCATAAAAAAACATCCAAATAATTCATAAAACATCGGAGAAAATCCTTAAAAAAGTGTGAATGATCCTTAAAAAATATCAATATGATCCATATTTTATGTAAAATTTAAAATTTAGCAAAACAATTAAAAAAATGTACCGCTAAATTTCTAAAGAATGAGCATTGAAATTGTAAGAATTGCCCATAAACATATTGCAATTGATCCATAACACATTCAGCAGTGAACCTTAAACTAAAGAAAGTGTTCCATAGAAAATCAAGTTTGCGCGCTTAAAAATATAGCTATGTTCGGATTAATGAAAGCAACTTCCTTAGAGCAGTCTCTTTTTGGACAACTTGAAGCTGAAATAGGTTTTATTAAACTAATATAACATCTAAACCAATCTTAATGCTTATAATAAAACCTATTTCAGCTTCAAGCTGTCCAAAACGAGACTGCTTTGAGGAAGTTGCTTTCATTAATCCGAACATTCTTGAAGAACAACATCGGATATAACCTTAAAATGTCAGAGAGATCAACACCACCGTTGAACGAAGAACAGAACAGATGTCTGCGATTTCTGGACTCATTATAGTTGTGCTGGTAAGACAATAGCTGTAAACAGGGTTGCTTCCACTCACTTGCTATAAAATAATGATTTTCTGAATTTTGACATCATTAGACGTTATAATGATATTTTGTACTTGTTAGATACAAGAAGAAGTTGAAAGGTAAGTATCTGACTCATAAAAATTGCCTATTTCGCTACCAGAGTGTTACAATCAGCGATTTTATGATTCGTGAGCGTTCACTCAGAGTGAGCGCTCGCGAGTCGCAAAATCGCTGATTGTGACTACCTCAAAGCGAATTTGACAGGTTTTATGTGTCAAACACTTGTCTTTCAACTTCTTCTTGTATCTAACAAGTACAAAATATCATTATAACGTTTAATGAATTCAAAATTCTGAAAAGCATTGTTTTATAGCAAGTGAGTGGAAGCAAGCCTGGCTGTAAAGGAGGTTCCGTAGACGTGCTCGAAGTGCACAAATGTGCTGAAGGTGTCGAATGGAAACAAGAAGTCTGTCCCAAAAAAAACAACCAAGCAGAAAGAATAGTGCGAGAAGTGATGCCGGATCCGAATCTGGAAAAGGAATGAGGTCAGCCTGGAGGAATCTCTAGACCTGGACGGAAGAGAAATTTCTCCATGAAAAGCAATAAGAGGCTGAGCGGGAGATTTTTCAAACCGAGAGTTATCTTTGGCTAGATTTAGGATTTAGGGATTCAATTATTATTTTAGTTAAGCACGCAAACGATGTAGAATGAGCTACTTGATAGCTACTTAGGGTAAATCAATTATATAGCGTTTAGGAACAAATAGTAGGTCACCAGATTTTAGATTTTAGACTAGGTTAAGCAAGTATAGGGTTATTAAATTCAATATGTTCACGAACTCCACCTCCAACTAACCTACTTCAGTAGCTAGTTCACTACAAATCACTACAATTTAATTAAACGATAGGCATAGTAACACATTTAGGCAATTAACTTACTTTAGCTGTAAAACGTGTTCTAGATGGTTTGGAATTGTACCTCTTTTTTTTTGTTCGTACTCCGACCTATCTAAACTCACAGTTCCAATGAACCAAACGTGATGTCTGTCATTTCTGACAGCGATCGTTACCGTAGCTCTCCGAATCTTACACAAGGTTGTCGCTGGGCTTGGCGGTACAGGGTTATCCCGATATTCCAAATAGCCATGATCCATAAATTAGACGTACATTATTCACGTTCTGGACACTACATTATTAATTTTGATCCATAAATAATGAAAAATTGTTCCATTACTGCCTAACTACTTAGATTTACTGTCCTGCAGTGTTTTTTTAGGTAGAGGTGCGGAGCGATGGTCAAGCGTCTAGAATTAGCTTCCAAAAGAAGCTTCTATAATAATCTTTTTAAGAAAAAATATGAAAAATAAATGTTAATTTTATGGATCATGCCTAGCGTAGGTGTTCCAGTTATTGGTAGACGTGCTTATTATGCTGTGCTCCAATTATAGTCCATGGGAAATACATATGTTTTTCATGTTTTGGACCCTTTTCTAATTTGATCAATAAACCTTGGAAAATTGCAACATTGCTGCGTAGCTACTCAGGATTACTGTTCTGCCCGTGTTTTTATGTTGTCAGAAGAGTGGAACGATGGGCGAGCGTCTAGAATAAGCTTCTTAAAAAAGTTTCTAAATGCAGCATCTTAAGAATATTATTATAGTATCTTCTGTTGGAAGCTAATTCTAGACGCTTGCCCGTCGCTTCGCACCTCTACCTAAAATACACCGGCAGGACAGTAAATCTTAGTAGATATGCAGTGGAGCAATTAATCTAGGTTTATGGATCAAAATTTAAAAAAATAGTGTCCTAAACATGAATAATATACGTCTAATTTATGGATCATGCTTATATTTTTAAGAGTGCAAACTTGATTTTTTAAGGATAACTTTCTTTCGTGTAAGGTCCATTACTGAATGTTTTATGGATCAATTGCAATATGTTTATGGGTAATTCGTACAATTTAAATGCTCATTCTTTAGAAATTTAGCGGTACATTTTTAAAATTGTGTTGCTAAATTTCGCATATAATATTGATAGTATTGATATTTTTTTGGATCATCCACACTTTTTTAAGGATTTTCTCCGATGTTTTATGGATCATTTGGATGTTTTTCTAGAAACTTTTTCAATATTTTATGGTCGTTTTATCAATTCTAAATGTGCAGACTTAGAACTGCCGAAAATTTCTATGTAGTGGATAAAGGTAAAACGAAAACAAAAATCTTTCAGTGTATTAAAAAAAAGCGAGAGCGAGAGGGAAATAATCCTCAAGCTGGGCCACATTTTTCATGTTAACATCAGCATTTTCATAAAAAAATATGTTCAATCTATATAGATGCTGATAAAAATCTGTAAACATATTTTTAAAGAAATTCAATGTTTAGAATTTTGAAAAATGACTAAATTTTGCTTTCTAAAGAATTAATCAATTTAAAATATCTCGAAATCTCACAATCTGGATGTTTTAAAGAGTTTTGTATATTTTCTACAAATCTGAAAATACAAAAAAAACCAATAGT